GCCGGTGTGTGTGCGGGTGACCGGGTGCGGCACCCCGGCGGGGAAGGGCTCGCCGTCCTTGGTGCACTCCAAGTGGGGTGCGGGGTTGCCCCGTGCCGAGCAGCGCAGGGTCTCATCCTGCCCCTCCGTCCAGTTCTGGCTGGGGGGGCAGCTCCTGTCGTCCATCCGGGGGGCGGCTGCGGGAAGAGCCGGGATAGGGACAACAAATTAATTCCCCATCTGGAAATTTCCCCATCAGCATCCCGGGATGCAGCCTGGCCCGTGGTGCGCTCACCCCTGATGTTGAACCAGATGGGTGGGCTCCTCTTTGGGGCTTTGCCAGTGCCAGGGAGCTTGGCGTCACAGCTCAGCATCATCCCATCATCTTCCTCATGTGCCACCATGCTGAAGGGCAGTGGGGACGGTCCCCACCCTGCCAGGATACGGTGGCCAGCAATGATCTGCAGCTGGAGCTCACTGGCGTGGCCGGGCGGCAAACCCCTGCCCCGGCCGTGCCAGCTGCCGGGCTGGTAGTGTTGATGTTCAGCGTTGGCACGGGGAAACCTGTGGGCAACGGGGACAACATCGGGGTGGTCCGGTGATGCCACAGCACAAAACCGTTCCCCCCTCCCTGGTGCAACATGCCAGGTCTGTGCAACCACCAGGTCTTTGCTGGTGCCACCGGTGCTGATACTCACGGTAGACGTGGACGGTTGCCTCCTTGCGCCGCTCCTTGGGTCCCACCGTCACGGCGCAAACCAGCCTGAACCTCCCTGGCTGGCTGAGCCCCGGTGCCCGTCCTGGCTGATGGAGAACGGCAGGGTCTGGTTGGCGAGTTCCAGCTTGAACCGCGCCACCGGGAAGACGCGCCCGACGGTGCAGCTGGTGTTCACCCTCTCGCCGGTCTCCAGGTAGAGGTGAGGCTCCAGCTTGGGATCTTCTGGGAATTCTGCCACCAGAGAGAAACACCTTGGGATAAGCCAGTTGCCACAATCCCAGTCACCGATCTCCATAAGGTGCGGGTGCTGGCTTACCGTAGACGGTCAACACCTGTGGGTCAGAGGTGGTGTTGAACCGTGGGCCGTAGGGCGTCAAGTCAAGCACCGCCTGGCAGGTGATGTTCTGCCCATCATCTGGCTGTTGTGCCTTCAGCCGGTGGGTCACCTGCACCGACATCGGTCCCTCCTCACTGTACTGCTCAAAGGTTTCGGTGTGCAGCTTCTCGCTGCCCCTCCACAGGATCACCGTCAGGTTCTGGATCGGTGCGACACGGCTCACACGGCACACCAGCTCGTGGGTCTCACCCACCACCAGCTGTGGCACCGGCTCCAGCACCACCGGCTCCAGCGAACCTGGGGGAGAGATGGTGTTTGAGGGAGGGGGATGACCCCGGTGTGCCAGGATGGGCAGCGACCCCCTCTCCCCACGGTGCCTTACGGTAGACGATGAGTTTGGTGGTCACCATCTTTCTCTCCTTGTTGCAGGTGTAGTAGCATTGGATGCTGGAGTTCCACTCGGTGACATTGAGAAGCTTCACCACCACCTTCAGCCCCTTCGACACCCACTGCTTCCGAATCGATGTCTCCACGCCACCTTGTCCTTCGGGATCCTGGCACGTCGTCTTCACCTTCACCTCGATTGATCCGCCGTGTTCCACCACCAGCACCGCCGGCTCGACCGACAAATTGAAGGAGGCTCCTACCCGCCCTGCCGGGAGAACCCAGGGGTTTGAGCGGGGGTTCTGCAATCGAGAGGACCCCTGGGCTCATCCGCATCCCCGGCACGGGGGGAGAAGGTCAAGGGGACCCCTGAGCTCATCCCCATCCCCAGTACAGTTGGGGGAAGGTCAAGGGGACCCCCAAGCTTATCCCCATCCCCAGTATGGTTGGGGGAAGGTCAAGGGGAACCCCGAGTTCATCCCCATCCCTGGTAAAGTTGGGGGAATGTCAAGGGGAACCCCGAGCTCATCCCCATCCCTGGTATGGTTGGGGGAAGGTCAAGGGGACCCCCAAGCTTATGCCCATCCCCAGTATGGTTGGGGGAAGGTGAAGGGGACCCTTGGGCTCATCCCCATCCCCATTATGGTTGGGGAAAGGTCAAGGGGAACCCCAAGCTCATCCCATCCCCAGTACTATTGGGGGAAGGTCAAGAGGAACCCCGAGTTCATCCCCATCCCCGGCAAGGGGGGGAATGTCAAGGGGACCCCCAAGCTTATTCCCATCCCTAGTACGGTTGGGTGAAGGTCAGGGGGACCTCCGTGCTTGTCCCCATCCCCAGCATGGGGGGGAAGGTCAAGGGGACCCTTGGGCTCATCCCCATCCCTGGCATGGGGGGGAAGGTCAAGTGGACCCCTGAGCTCGTCCCCATCCCCAGTACGGCTGGGGGAAGGTCAAGGGGAACCCCAAGCTCATCCCTATCCCTGGTATGGTTGGGGGAAGGTCAAGGGGAACCCCGAGCTCATCCCCCTCCTCGGTACAGTTGGGGGGAAGGTCAAGGGGACCCTTGGGCTCATCCCCATCCCCAGTATGGTTGGGGGAAGGTGAAGGGGAACCCCAAGCTCATCCCATCCCCGGAAAGGGGGGGAATGTCAAGGGGACCCCCAAGCTTATTCCCATCCCTAGTACGGTTGGGTGAAGGTCAAGGGGACCTCCGTGCTTGTCCCCATCCCCAGCATGGGGGGGAAGGTCAAGGGGACCCTTGGGCTCATCCCCATCCCTGGCATGGGGGGGAAGGTCAAGTGGACCCCTGAGCTCGTCCCCATCCCCAGTACGGCTGGGGGAAGGTCAAGGGGAACCCCAAGCTCATCCCTATCCCTGGTATGGTTGGGGGAAGGTCAAGGGGAACCCCGAGCTCATCCCCCCCCCAGTATGCTTGGGGGAAGGTCAAGGGGACCCCAGGGCTTGTCCCCATCCCCAGTATGGTTGGGGGACGGTCAAGGGGACCCCAGGGCTTGTCCCCACCCCCAGTACGGTTGGGGGAAGGTCAAGGGGACCCCAGGGCTTGTCCCCACCCCCAGTATGCTTGGGGGAAGGTCAAGGGGACCCCAGGGCTTGTCCCCATCCCCAGTATGGTTGGGGGACGGTCAAGGGGACCCCAGGGCTTGTCCCCACTCCCAGTATCGCTGGGGGATGGTCAAGGGGACCCTTGGGCTCATCCCCATCCCTGGTATGGTTGGGAGAAGGTCAAGGGGACCCCCAAACTCATCCTCATTCCTGGCACAGGGGGGGAAATTCAATAACGGCCAGCAGGAAGAGAACAAAAAATAATTCCAGCTGCAATCCGGGGGTTTCGCAACGATAAACAAGACCCGGGCGGCAGCGCCTCCCACTCGCTCCCCGCTCACTTCCCAGCTTCTCCCATGGGATACAGCGTGGAAGCCATGGTTTCAGAAAAAGGGGGGCTGGCACGGACCTGGGACCCCCATGCCAAGCTCCCCGGCAGCCCCCCCAGCGCCGGAGCTTGATGCCAACACCGCGGTGGCACGCTTGTGCTCCCATGGTGCCTCCATGGGGACAGGCACGCATCCCACCCGCTGTGACACGCTCACGGGGACACGCTTGTGGTGCCACACTCGTGGGGACAAGGTCACGCTGGTACAAGTGCTCACACCGATGCACTCGCGCCGCCACGATGCCACCGACACGATCGCGGTG